AACTTTTACTTTTGCTTCCGGGAGGAGCTGTTTCTTCCGTCCGGTAACACTGCTTCAGAAGGCCACCACATCTGTGTGTTTTTCTCATCTGTGATGCAGGGTTTTCAAAAACAATGTTGACATTCATCACAGTTTTCATTCTGTGGGATACGGAATGTCCTCTCAAAGTCTTCATCACTGGTGTTTTGATTTTCAATAGTATCCCCTTCGCATAACATTTCATCTAATTCCCATTCATTAAAATTTATAAACTGAATAATTGTTTCCCTTTGTTCAGGATTCACTCTCAAAGAAATTACACTAGTCTTGTGTCCTAATTTTCATCCATTTTGCTATAAGAACGATGGCTGGAATTGGAGGGAAAGTTTTAGGGCATGGGGCACCAAAGGAGGTTTATTAACATGTTGTTGTCTATTTGGTCACTTTTGTAAAATTTAAAACTTTATTATTTTTTTGCATCAAAATTGTTATAAAATAAATACACTGATAATCTATTAAATATAATAATAATATCTGGGGGTTTTCTTGCATCATATTCTTTGACCCCTGAGGGCCCATCATGGGAGGTGTGGTGACTAATAGATTTATTGACATTTGGCGGGATGCAGGGAGTGCCTCCCCACTGTGAAAATATCTTAGCTTTACATGTTACATTGTAACTGGTCTATTCCATTTGATAATAGACAAAGGGTGAATTCAGATTATAAATATTTAATTGCATAAATACACATAATTTCAAACGCAAGAGGTGAGACTTGATTTTGCAATTCTAATATCAGTTTCATCATGAGGAGCAAACTTTGAACCATATTTGCCAGTCATCTATTAATTCTATTGAAAATGAGAAATATGACTGTATCCTGTTACATCACAAAAAATAGTGGCCTAGTCCGTAATAGGAAACCCACAAAACTGCAAGTAACATTTAATATAGTATTACAAGAAGATAAGCAAGTAAACATTGAAAGAATATAGAAAGTCAAATAATAGTCAAAAGAAGTGAAGAAAATGGCAGAAACCAAGCGAAAACGGCCTGCCAATTTCAAGTTTGAGATGCCAATTACTGAAGGAAAAAAGCAAGAAATAATGCAAAGTCTTCAGAAAGTAAGGGAGGTTTTGGTCACAAGTTACAAACCTGTCAACAACACTGACATAATGGAATCATTGCTGGATGCCTGGAGAAAATCCCTAGAAGTGAGTAAAAGTGATGATTTCAAGTCACCGGGAACGTATACCAAAGTAAAGAAGAGTCAAGTGATGCAGGACTTTTTTTTGTAACATCAATGCAATCTATCAAAAAACTGATGGATATTTCAGCAACCCATGGAAAGTACTGCAGAGGAATTCTAGAAATCAAAAAAGTCACTAAGAGAAGTCATGTGCATTTTTTAAAATTAAAATGTACCCGGGGCGACAGAGGAAAACATTCCTATATTTGGGCATCTTCTCCATACTTACCCAACGGGAAATACCTTGTTAACGAAAGAATCAACCATGCATTTCTATGCAGCGGAATGTTACCTTCTCATTATTCCCGATTCTGTAATGCTGCAGGTCTTGGAATTCTTTCCGTAGAGAAACGAGATACATTTTTCAATATGTATAAGCAATTTGTAAAAGAAGAATATGATGATTCGTGCACTACTGCTATTTTAGAAGAAGTTGGATTATATGAAAACCTGGATGGAATAGACATAATAACTGATGCCCGCCATGGATGGAGAAAAAATTCACAAGATACCAGTGTTGTTGCTATTGGGGAAAGATCCCATAAAGTACTGAATTGTGCCCATGTCTCGAAAGACATGAGATAGTCGGAACAAGAAAATTTATGAAGATTTTGACAATAGAGACATTTCTGTGAATGTACATACCCACGACAGGAATATGGCCATCAACAAATTTGTAAGGGAAAGGGAACATGGATTTACATGCAATCAAAACGATCTTTGGCATGGCATCAAGAGTGTTAAAAAAGCCTTGACTGATATATCAAAAGGACCAAGATATAAGGAAGGAAAAACATGGTCTGAAGAATTGATTGACAAAGTGGAATTGATTGACAAAGTGGAGCCTGTAGCAACACATTTTTACTGGGCGACCAAGCATTGTGATGGTAATTCAGCTACTTTGAGAAATCTGTTGGACAATATTGTGGACCATTACCAGAACAGCCACAAACAATGTCACCCCAGCTCTAGGTGTAAACGAGATCCAAATTATGAACCTTCAAAGGTTGTAATTGAGAATCCAGTGGCAGTAAAATTACTCAGAAGTGTTATAATAAATTCAACTATTTATAAGAATCCAGACCATTTTAATTTAGGGATAGATACGTACTTTGTGGAGAGTTTCAATAATACATTAAATATCTATCAAGACAAACGAATAGCATTTGGAAGTGAACAATATAAAGTGCGTGCTTTCCTTGGAACTTTGCATTGGAATGAAAATGTAAACAGAGAACATACTTCTACTTCATTCAAGACTGCTGACCCAAAGGCCCCTAGAAGACTAAAGGGAAAAAAGAACTATAAAAAGGAAACATTTAATTTTAGAAATAAAATATGGATGCGCTATATTAAACAAGTGTACTCATAATAGTCAAATTCAAAAGCTGTTGGTCCATATTTTGATAATAATGTAAACTATATCTTGCGAGCACACGCCTTGAATTATTTATTTAATAAACACAAAGAGATGAAATCTCCCTAATTTTTTATCTTCACTTCCTCCTCGTTTCTTATAAAAATAAAGTTAACGGGAATACCTATGATTTTTAAATAGCAACCTATTTGCATTAAAGGTAAGACCAAAAATATTTCTATTTTTTTAATACTTTTTTCCCTACATATATCATTATTTATATTATTTATGTAAATCCCCTTCAACCTTATGATAATTAAGTGATTCGAAAAAATGTTTTTTTTTTAAAATAATAATCCGTTTTTCTTGGTGTTTGCTTAACTTTAAAGTTGACCTAAGTAATTTCTTAAAATTGAAAAGTGATCAAATTACATTTTTAACTGCCCCTCAATACGCCATCCTTATTTAATAACCGTTATCGAAAGTATAAAGCCCCTAATACATGTAGCCTTCCCTCTCTTTCAATCAAATAACTTTGAAATCCCTTGTTTCAAGATTATTTTGACAAGTATAACGTTTGGTATTTTTGTGGTAAAAGTTGGTCAAATTCTTAGGTCAAGATCAAGGAGTCAATTGGTGGTTCGCAAAGTTCTTGCCACACGCCATACACCAAGTCAAAGGTTATAGACAAGGTTGAAGGTTTTGAAGACAAACAGACAGGGCCAAAATTATATACTCTGGAATCTTCGATCAAGAGTGCATAAAAAAAAATCTGACAATATTTTCATACAACAAATACCTATAATGTACTTAACCTTTTATAACATGTTTTTTCCCAGATTTCAATATTAACCAGATACGACTGTGTCAATTTTAAAAAGCATTAATGATAGTTAATCATTAATTGATTGATCATATATATATAGCTTTACGTCCCGTCCGAGAATTTTATCACACATGTACATGTAGAGCCATCAACATATACCGTTGAAGAGATTTAAATTTATACCTTTCCTTGACACTGTCTTTTAAAGTGTGGCAGAAGGGGTCCTTGTTTGTTTGTCCGTCCGTCTATCTGTTGTCAACTTAAACCTAGCTCATAATTATTTCGCGGTTTAGGGTAAGGTTTTAATAACTGACATGAGTGTTCATCATGGAAAGACCCTTCCCTTTGTACGAAAATCTTGATCATGTGACCCCAACTATGACCTTTGACCAACATTTGAAAATCTTAAACATTGACCATAACTATTGCATTGTGTTTCACAAAGTTTACATGTAATTTACCATTGCACAATACTATTTTTAAAATAAATGGTCTTCAGTATTTTCACATTTGCTACCCTTAAACATCTTTCAAGTGTATACATATCAAGAATCAATAGTAATTACCTTTAAATTACAAAAACAAATTATACAGTTATATATTAAACATGTCATTATACATGCATATATCTTGAACGTCTCTAGATTTTATTATTTGGAATAAAACATATATTTGGTTTATTGTGCAGGCATTGGTTACATTGGTATTTTGATTCCATGATGATCTTCCGTTTTGTCCTGTTTCTCAAATGTGTGACTTATATTTCCACCATTGGTAAGAGGAAAAAAAAACTTTTTATAATGTAAAAGACTGCATGGTATTTTCCTGCTGAAAAGAAAATCAATCAACCTACTAATATGTGTGAAAACTCATGTGAATCGAGTGTAAAAAAAAATTAAACTAGGTTCTAACAGTGCAATTGAAAATTTTCTACCAAATGTTCAGCAATAAAAGTTGGACAATGTGATATACAGTGCACGTTTACATGTAGTTACATTAGAGAAGTCCAAAAGAAATCCAGATGAAACTGTATAGGATAATAGGGCTAAATTCTGTAATTCCTTCAACTTTCACTGAATTTTCAGTTAGGGACCGATGTTACAAAAAAGGGTGTCTGAATTGTTACATATTTCTGGGTCTATTTTTGTTGAAAGTTATCATACATATAATAATACATTATTCTGAATAAAAAATTTTAAATTTCGGTGCGGTGAAACTTGTTCATTTTTATGACTTATTAAAACACGATCGACTAAAATTGACTAATATTTGTTTGTATCCTCTGTCCTAAACCGAATTGCAGAGGGTTTTCCCCGCGTTTCAAAAAAGCGAAACGTCTTGAAAGTTCAAAAGCATTTAAAAAAAATAATATTTACATGAAACTTTTTAATCATATTTCACAACCATACAAAATAACAGCAATTCCTAATGTATTTAGGGACTAAAATCACCACATTTTCTACTACTTATTAATACAAAAGGAAATTATTCAATTTTACTTTTAAATCAGCAGCTCTCTGTATTTTTAGTATTATTTCTGTAAACAGAAATTATATGTATAAAATACACTGAATGAAGTATTAAATAAATGGCTAAATTTCCCCTCTTCTTACAAGAGAATTTAGCTTTACAAAAGCCCGCCTGGCAGGAAAATAATTGGCAAGATAAAGAAACAGACTGGGGAGCAGAGAAGGCAGTGGATGGGCGATATACTGACCGCTCAGCAGGAGGAAACCAGTGTACAATATCAGCAGGTGGACAAACAGCAGAATGGGGAGTGGATCTAGGGAGAGTAGTCAGTATTAGTTATATAAAGATGTACTACAGGACGGATAATAAACCTGGTACGTATAAATTTCTCAGTATATATTAAAAGGGAAGATAGTATGATTTTTTAGATAATAAACTTTTATTCATTTGACATTGACGAAGAGGTTGCATTTGAAATAACAATATTAATATTACATGAAGTCGCCTGCGTGGCGCAGTGGTAAGAGCGTTCTGCTCTAGAGACTATATAAACCGAGGTCCCTTGTGGCAGTAGGTACTTGCACGAAAAAGATATATCCCTACTCAATGGCCCTGATTGCCTAGTATAGGACAACATTTGCAGGTCTTCACCGGCTAGTGATGGCGTCTCTGTAAAAGCTAATGTAATTGTCTAGAAGAACTTCCAACAACATACAATAAATGAATCATTTAATTATATATATTACATTTTAAGGGTCCTTCTTTGATCGATTCGCTGGGTATTTCCTATACGTTTCCAACAGTACCTTAAAAAACAATGGAACTTCAAGGCTCTGTTTTCACGACCATCAGAACGTAAATGGTACACCAACAGACGACCAGAGAATCAACTGCTCTGTGTACGGCCGATATGTTATATATTACAACGAGAGGAGACCGGATGTGACGTATCCTAGTTACTACTCTCCAGACGCATATAATGAATTATGCGAAGTGGAAGTTTATGGTCAGTTCCAACAGACAACTTACATGTAGTATCGTAATTTTAGCTCACCTGAGCCGAAAGCTAGAGTGAGCTAATCTGATCAAATTTTGTCCGTTGTCGATGTCTTTGCTGTCGGCAAATTTTCACTTTTCATCTTGTTCTCAATAAACACTGGGCTTATTCCAACCAAACTTTCAACAAAGCATTCCTAGGTAGAGGGAATTCAAGCTTGTTCAAGTAAAGGGTCAGTAGCCTTCTTCCAAGGGAGATAATTATGAATAAGTGACAAATTAATGGCATCATTTAAATATCTTCCCAAGACCCACTGGGCCAGAGAATACGAAACCCATGTGAAATCATCCCCAAGTATGGTAGATTCACGTTTAAAATGTCCAAGTATTGACCCTTTGGAGAAGGGTGAGGCCGCAATAGACGATCCAAGTTTTATAAAAAAAATACATAGGAAAAGTCTTTCAAATTACTCTTCCCGAGAACCACTAGGCAAGGAAAGAACGTTGAATCATACTCAGGTGGTATAGATTCAAGTTTGGTGAAATCATGACCTCCAGAGGTAGGACGAAGCCATGATTGACAATCAAAATTTTTCAAGTAATATATAGGATAAAATATTTGAATTGTTTTCCTCTCAAGAACAAGAAAGCCATTATTGCTGAGTTTAATATGGAAGCATCCTTAGGTAGTGTTGATTAAACTTTGTTTAGATTTTGACCATCTGTGTAGGGTGGACATAAATGGAAAATCATTTTTTTTTTAAATATGGAAGCATCCTCAAGTAGTCTCATAGATTCAAGATTGTTCAAATAAAAATTTCTGTCGTTATAATGTGGACACGATGTGGGATCAATTTTATTATAGGGATATTTACTATACAAAATATTTTGATAACATTTTCCCCCTCCCGTAAGTAAATGGAATTTTTCTAAGTCAAAGGGGCATGAATTGTCAAAAATGGCTCGATTGAACCCAAACAGAACTTGATTTTACTAGATATCTTTATGATGAATCCGTAAACAAAATTTCATTTTTTAAAGAAATTGAACAGAAACTGCAAATACACGTTTTCCTTAAGTCCAAGGGGTATTACTCCTAAATTTATCTATATATTTTGATAATAATGTAAAATAAATTTCATCTCAATATGTCCAATCTTTGCGAGGAAAGTGAACGGAAACTGCTGGTGGACTAACCGACAGACAGCAGCTAAGCCAAATGTCCTCCCCTCTTGGAAGAGAGGGGGGCTTAAATATCTTTAAAACTTTATGGAAAAGCGAATATATGACAAGTGATTTTCTTTTTATGAAACTAATAGAAGCACTCTCATGTGGTTTAAAAGAAGGTTTGTTTAAATCATGACCCACCCTTAAGGGGGTGGGCAGGGTGTTGCCACAATGTGGCATCAAAGTTTTAGATTAGAATATATAGAAAAAAATGTCCTTAAGAACAGGAAAATTATGTTTTGACAAAATAAACTTCCGCATGAAGTGAAGATCCATTTAAAAAATGAGCCCTTCCGTTATCTATTGAAGCTCAGCATCCCACCCACCCTCCCAATTTACCAGATTTTGATAAATTGTTTTTTGTGTTGACAATTTGATGCTGCTGTCTTTGATTTTCCATTCCCTTGGCTAACAGCAGAAGAATTCAATACATCCATTCATTCGCTTCAATAGATAACGGAAGATAGAAAAGAAAATTTCATCATTACAATGAATACAATGATGTACACAAAGTATCAATTCAATGATGCACAAGGTGTACTGGTAATTGATACACTATGGGTACAATGATGTATAATAATAATAAATAAATAATACGCGCAAAGTGTGTATTCACAAAAAGGGTGTTATGATATTCAATGATATATAAATCGGATATATAAATCGCAATGAGCAGGTAACAATGTATTCCAAAGACAATGGTCTACGTCGACTTTATCAATAGTACTTGACGTAGAATCAATAGCAATGGCACAATGACGGAAGCTTAGTTATTGGCCACTGACCCTGGTAGATAACAGGATCAGCAGCGAGCTTCTGGCAAATTATGCCATACATGTATGTCTTCACATGGGAGCTGATAAAGCGCGACGTGTTAATACAGTGTACATCCGCTATATGCTGCAAATTTTGCACATGCCATGACAAAACTGCTATTAATTACATGCAGTTATGCAAAATTAATCACTGCTTGTAATATATGAAGTATACCATAGAACAAGGGAAGTTATTTTTTTCAATTTATATTTCATAACATTTACAATAACTAGTGCATGATTAATAAACTAATTAAAAATGGAAATGGTATGTAGTGCTGCAAACTTTGACAAATTATTTTGAATATGCCTTCCTGAATGATATGGAGAAAGTTAGCAGACTGTGCTATATTAGAAAGATGAACACCCTCTGGATATAGGTTTGATGAGTACTCTTGAATATCTGGGTAGTGACTGAACCCCCTACACCCCTCCTCCTCCAACTTGTGGTAATGAACAATATAATGAGCTATTTATCCTGATACGAGCGTTGTGTGAAATAATTTCTTGGCAGTATTTATGACCATAAAAATTTATACTTTGGTAACATAACTGAAAACGAGACAGAGTCAATATCATCAACTTTTGTAGTTAGCAAAGGGACTCCGACAAGGTTAGATTTACCAATACTATTACCCCACAATGAATCATTCTGACGAGTGGGTTCCCATATTGGTGCGTAAAAACTTCATTTCTTTCTTTTAAAATAAAATTTAACAATATGCCATGTCCATGTGAGTGCAACACCACGATAAAGTTAAGTAATGTTCACTCATATACGGGAGTGCTATTGTGTTTCCATGCATGAATAACAAAAAAAGTCAAATACAGGCGTGGATAAAATAAAAATTGACATTCATATATTTTAATGACAAGTGCAAGCGCTAAAATTTATTTGCGCCAAGGCATTTCCACTTGCGTTTGCGCTAAAATACGTATGTGCTAAATTTTCTCATTTTACAGTAAATATGCTAAAATAGCTTTTTCGAACTTCCACCATAATTTTCCAACAATTACAGAGATTTCAAATTTGGTATGCATAGTCCACTCATTAGTGTCTTTCAAATGACACCAAGGTCGATGACCTTGTGACATTGACTGTTACCTACATGTATATGCTGAAATAGCTTTTACGAACTTTATTATCGGTAGGCGCCTAGTGTTTCACAAACAAATGTTTTTTTTATTACTTATATAGGATGTTATGATACAGGATATTATGGAAGATTTTGTAACCAATCATGTCCAGTAAAATGCCAGGGACAGCAGTGTGACGCCGTTACTTGAAATTGTTTGAATGGTTGTGTACAAGGATATCAAGGGCCACACTGTAGCTATTGTAAGTTACGAAGTATATATCGATATATCAATAGTTTAATCATACAAGATTATCTATCCTGAAGCTTCTCACAATAATTTATACCACTGATGAACAGCAAAATTTTGAGAATTAAGGTGAATTTTGTCCATTACTGGAACTCTTTTTAAATTAGAGGCTCTTTAGGTAAGTTTGACTGATATAACATGTCGGAGCGGAAAATACAGAACATGTCGATTTCAGTTTACATTTTAGAGTTATTGAAAAGTCACGAAAAAGTTCATTTCCAGACTATGCTTTACTTGCATTGATCAATATTTTAATATAATACACATTTTTCTGTTCTCAATCAACCACGGCCAGAATGAGAGAAAATCGTACATTTTGGCCGTGGTTTGCAACGGTGGTCGCCCGCACGGTGCAGTTGTTAGAAGGTCTGCTTTCGATTCGCAAAGTATGGAATTGATTCTTAACGTGACGGGTTGGAATCTTAGATAAATAAAATTTACTGTCTTTTGTTACAATATTGAATGTTTTTCACAAGTGAATTTGGCTTTGGGGAGACCTGCTTGGCTGCAGCACAAATGGTCATTTACACGCAGAATCTGGGGGGCAGAGAAGGCAGTTGATGGACAATATACAGACCGCTCAGCAGCAGGAAACCAGTGTACAATATCAGGCCCCGGATATCAGACTGCAGAATGGAGAGTCGATCTACAGGACATTGTCAGCATAAGTCATATCCAAATCTACTATAGGACTGAAAACACTCCAGGTAAGCACTAGAAAATTAAGGCATATAATAAATTACATTGAGAACATGATTATGACGTGCTTTCAATTAAAATTTTCACAACTATGTTTCGAGGCCATTAAGGAAAGTTACGGATATTAAGAAGAGTAAAAATTATTATTATATTTTAAATGGGTTTCTTGAATAGTTTAAGAAAAACAAAGAGTAGTGTCTTTGTTAGCATTTGGGCTGAGAGAATTAGTGCACGAACGGTATAAATTATACTTCTTTAATGAAAGTACTGTAATAATTTCATTAAAAAAAATACCAGGGAAAATGTTCTTCTTTGTCCACCATATGCAGATTATCTCATTGACTGCATGGAACTCGAGGATCTCATTTCTTTTATTATATAACTCCTTCTAAACTCTCGCTTGGCTTGTGGAGGTACCGGGATGGCTCAATTTCGCTATTTTCTCTCTTATTATATAATTCCTTCTAAAGAACTCGGTTCACTTCCTATCATATTTGGCCCTGACAATTTCCAAAAAATTAAGTTTAAACTGAATCAAAACTATATAGTGGAAATAAATGTTGGATATATGCTTGCTTAAAATATATATAAAAAATTTGGGAATGTGTCCCTGTTTAACTATTTAATGGGGGTCAAAACATGCAAGGAATGCGTATTTCCGGAAAAATTGTTAAAAATCAACTACTTAATAAACATGTTCTGTTACTTTAAACATGGTGCCCACGATATCACCATTACAATTTTTTGCATAAAGAATGCTTTTAAAACATTGTTTCAACTGAGAAAATTTCAAAGTGGTGATATGATGGGCACCTATTGAAAAATGCTTTTAAGTAGTTGATTTTTAACGATTTTTCCGGAAATACGCATTCTTTGCATGTTTTGACCCCCATTAAATAGTTAAACAAGGGAACATTCTCAAATTTTTTATATATATTTTCAGCAAGCATATATCCAACATTTATTTCCACTATAAAGTTTTGATTTCAGTTTAAACTTAATTTTTTGGATATTCTCAGGGCCAAATATGATAGGAAGTGAACCGAGTTCTTTATGGACCAGCGCGGCTGCCATGGTTGGGGAGTGAAGATGTAACCCAACCTGTATAAAATGCAACCAAGACAGTCAAGATTCAGCTTTCCACTCTTTATTAGGTCACCTGAGAAATTCAGGTGACCTATTGCTATCCGTTTTCGTCCGTCGTCGTCCGTCGTGTGTTAACATTTTCAGCTTCTTCTCTGAAACCACTGAACCAATTTCTACCAAATTTAGTATACAGCATCTATGGGTGAAGGGGAACAAAAATTGTGAATTTCATAGTCCCCACCCCCCTGGGGCCTGAGGGGTGGGACCAAAACCACAAAAATTAGTGCAATCTTTAAAAATCTTCTTCTTTACTCCTGGACATCAAGCAGGCAAACTGTTGAAATGAATATATGAGCATTGAGGTCTCTACCAAAATTGTGAAATTCATGGCCCCAGGGTCGGGGGTTCTAGTGCTAGGGCGGGGCTATATAGATTATATAGTGAAAATGCATTATTTCTTTGAAAATCTTCTTCTCTGCTCCTGGGTATTAAATAAACTAACTAAGTACATAGTTATGATGAGCAAGAGTGCTTCTTCCAGATTTTTGAATTTTGTGGCCCCAGGGTCAGGGGTTCTAGTGTTAGGGCAGGGCTCTATTGATTATATAGTGAAAATGCATTTATTCTTTGAAAATCTTCTTCTCTGCTTTTGGGTATTAAATAAACGAATTAAGCACGTAGTTATGATGAGCAAGAGTGCCTTTTCCAAAATTGTGCATTTTATGGCCCCAGGGTCAGGGGTTCTGGTGTTAGGGTGGGGCTCTATTGGCTCTATAATGAAAATGCATTTATTCTTTGAAAATCTTCTTCTCTGCTTCTGAGTATTATATAAACCAACTAAGCATATAGTTATGATAAGCAAGAGTGCCTCTTCCAGATTTGTGAATTTTATGGCCCCAGGGTTAGGGGTTCTGGTGTTAGGGCGGGGCTCTATTGATCATATAGTGAAAATGCATTTATTCTTTGAAAATCTTTTTCTCTGCTTCTGGGTATTAAATAAACAAACTAAGTACATAGTTATGATGAGCAAGAGGGCCTCCTATAAAATTGTGAATTTTATGCCCCTGGGTCAGAGGAGGGGGGGGGGCTACATAGTCTGAAAATAAATTAACGTTTTTATATCTGCTCTTTGATATTAATCAACCATTTTGTTTTAAAATTTGCAAAATTTTGAAATGTGTGGCCCCTGGGTTAGTGGTTCCTTTGGGGTGAGGTGCACAACTGGGTATACAGTGGAAGTGCATTTTCTCTTTGTTACTCTGATCTACCTCTGGGTATTAAGTAAATAGAGTAAGCATGCTAAGTTAATAATTATGATAAGCAATGGTGCCTCTTTCAAAATTGTGAATTGTGAATTCCATGGCCAAATTCAAGTGTTTGAAAGTTGTTACTCAATACTCAGATGACCTATAAGGCCCTTGGGCCTCTTGCTAAATTAAACAATCTATTGTAATCGTTATGATTACAATAAATAATTTCTTACAATATACTATAAATTATACTAAACATTACACGTTCTAATATAAAAAAAAATATATATATAATTTGTTGATAAATTAACCCATGTGAAAATTTTAATGATTTGATAAAAACCGCGCAAGTCTAGAAAATTATCTCACCTGTATAAAATGCAATCAAGACAGTCAAGATTCAGCTTTCCACTGAAGTTCTGTCTATCCCGGCCACTCATTTAATACTAGGTATACCTTAGTAGATTTGTAACTTCGAAATTTGCAATAATTACTTTAATTTTTTATTTGAATTTTAATTACTATTATTCTGACGTTGAGTACTTTTAAAATTTCTAATGCACTTTTAAAATAATTTCCAATCTTTTGCATAATCTTTAAATATTTGTTGTAGCTAATTTATTCAAATATCTGACCTCTGGTCACTTCATTACCATTGTTTCCTTATTCACACACATTCTGAAATTTGTTTTTATCTGAAAACCTTTATTACTGTGTGCAATTTATCCATGCTTGTTATTTTATTTAAAGTATTACCTAATATTTTTCACTAATATCCACATTTCTAAACCCGTGACAAGATATTAAGTCTAAAGAAAAATAAAATGTTTCATCTGTCCTTAAAAATTGTATACATAATCTATTTAGTGGACGGTCGTTTTTTTTTTTTAAATAAATTTCGCTGAAGCTTTTGTGAATCTTAACTTTAAAATATTATAAAATGATAATAAAAAAACATAATTTCACATCTATCATTGTCCTTAAACAAAGGTCCAAAGTTGTTACTACAGTAAATCAAAGTTCCAAGGTTTTATAAGACCACTTATTATTTCCCTATAAAACTCTATACAAACCTTCAGTTCTGTCAGTACTATACAAATTTAAATTCAGACAAAACCTTGGCATAATTTGAAACTTTATTCTAAGCGCGTAAAAAGAGGACCGGAAAGGATATAGGGTTCTATGGCGATCATAGGTCAACATTGCAGTTGTTTACAACTTATAGCGAACAGCAGCAATTAACACTTTGCCAAAAGCATCAATACCCACTCATACAATCTGCCCTGATAATTCTATAGTTCTTGTAATCTTCCTACATTCCAAACAATATTTTTAGAATGAAAACATACATACCTCAATTCAGCCGGTCAATCAGGCAGCAGATAGCTTGTTTTCGCGTATAGATTTATCGATGAGAGTATCATTCAATATGTTATATTTACATTTCCAATGTCTTTGTCCGAGATAAAATTACCAATTGTAAATGTAATTTATTTCTTCATGAATGTTTTGGCGCGGTTCCAAAAAAACCACGTGCAGGGCGGGACAACACCTAGAGAGAAGCAGGCTTGGAGCCCGTGGATTGGCGGAATCAAAGCATGTAAATATAAGGAATAACTGTCAGATTTTTTTCATGAATTCATGAAGATGATCAATGGATTGGCTTGTGTGATAATTTTATGCATAAAAGCCTTCGGCGTTTATGCAAATTATCACACAAGCCAATCCATTGATCACTTCATGAATTCGAAAAATAAGACAGTTATTCCTTAAACCATCTTGTGACGTGTTGCAGAGACAGTTATGCATTCTTTAAAACCTATATTATAATATATATATATATATATATATATATATATATATATATATATATATATATATATATATATATATATATATATATATATCGGTGAGTTTTTGAAAATGCAGCCGATCAGGAACATTCGGGGTTGATTTTCCAATTAACGGCATTACTACAAAGATAAGCACTATAAACAGTGCTTATAACTTATCTTGAAAAATGTTTGAGAGGTTAATTAACATTTTCTTCTGACTCATCTATAACAATAATTATTGTATGATTTAATAATACTTATCTTTCTGATTGGCCGAAATCCAACTTTGTGGAAGAAATACTACTATATTTACCTGCACGTGACATTCCAGGTGAATATAAGGATTCATTTCCTCTTCATTGATCTAAACATAGATCGGGAAATTCCAAATTGATAAAAAATTGTTTTGGAAAGCTATTCAAAAGACAATCTTGTCTTTTTTGGGTTGGATTTTTTTGGTCAATTCAATGATTTAGCCAACTTGAAGTGCAGTATTCATCTCACCCTTCGGGCTCGGTTAATATTGTACTCTTCAGGTGGCTAAAGCATGGTATTGACCTAAAAAAACAGCAATACTTGTATAAGATACATTTTGCTCAAAATTTACAAAATCCCAGAACTTTCAAAAAGAATTCGAGAAGTGCCTATCCCATGAATAGAAAGGTCCCTGGTATTTGCTTTAAAAAGTATCTCATTTGAATAAGTTTGCTCTGACTAAAAACTATCTATGGCAGTTAAAGATAGCTAGGAAGGCACTGTTGAGGTCTCGGCTCTATTTAAGAATTTAACCAACACTCTTCTATCAGTTTCTTTTATACTCCATGGATCCTTTATGGATTTTTGACCGTAAAGGTTCTCTGGTTTCTTGATATTTCGTAGGTCCTGGTGCATACATGTACTACATGACATTTGCTGGATTTTTCGTCTACGTTTCCAATGACACGTCCAGGAACAACGGTATTCTTTGCTTTCATCAAATACAGAATAAGACTGGTACACCTACAGAGGATCAAACTATAAGCTGTCCGGTAGACGGCCGTTATGTAATATACTACAACGAACGAAGACCGGATGTGACGTATCCAGGTTACTATTCACAGTATGCATACACTTATTTGTGTGAATTGGAGGTGTATGGTGAGTCTCTTTGCTTCTTCAATTTTTTATAACATTTTATCCTCATCACAAGTTTTCTTGTAACAAAGTTGAACATAGGAATAAGCTTGTTATTACTTAAACAGGATGCCCTGGTTCTAGATATTTCGGAAAATATTGTGAGCAATCATGTCCAGAAAACTGTCAGGAGCTGAGATGCAATATGTTTACAGGAAACTGCTTTAAATGTAAACCTAGATATGATGGTTCTCACTGTCAAAGTAAGTTAGAAGTAGGTCTGGAACGTTCAAAGAGAGATGCACATATTTATTTAGGCGTTTAGGGAATGTTGAATTTGATTCTATGAAAGGAATTAAGAGCCATTCTCTGTAATGATTTGAAATTTTATATAAGAGCTGTGGCACGCATAGTCTCAGAATTTCTCCAAACTCTCTACGATAAAAGTCATTGATACCCTAAACTGAAATCAGGCAAAAATGGTTGCTATGTTTTAAAGTTACAATGGCAACATGTCTTAAAGTTCGAAAATGGCATTTTAAAACATGTTTAGAGCCTTATTTAGTTAACATTTGCGGCAAAAAAAAAAACAATTGGCAATGACTGCTTCCAAAAGTTGAAGGTCAGATGTCTCAAATGCATGATAAACATGTTTGGTGAATCATCTATTACATACGTTACTATGGTAACAAAGTATTCAAAAGTAAAAAAAAAAAATCATTGAAAGTCACACACGTAAAAATAACAAGAGGCCCACGGGCCTTATAGGTCACCTGAGCATTATGCAACAA